AAAAAAAAAAAAAAAAAAAAAAAAAAAAAAAAAACACTGTCCTTAGCCTGCATCTTTTTATCTTTTTAATTAATATAGAGATAGTCTCAGTGATGTAACGGATATGTTCTGACCCTGTAAGCACAGCACTCCAGTAGATTCTCTGGTATCTTTGCTCACACTTGGTCTAGTACCAAGTAGTTTCAACGTCTCCTATGCATCCTATAGCTCCCTTCAAGCCCCAGCACCAGTTTCCTTCCTAGAAAAAACAAAGTCACAGTGCGAAGAGGTTTGCAACCAACTTTTGGCCCGATACGAAGCTAGAAAAGGATAAGGGTGGGTATATGAAGCTGAGTGTTACAAAAAACCAAAATTTTAAAAAATTGATGGGCTCACCAGGTTACAGAGTCTGCAGGACTAATTCAAAATCATAATTCAGCAAACATTGAAGTCTGTCTATAGGAAATCCTGGCACTGAAGACCAAGTGCAATATAAAGTTAGTTCTAATTACTTGTTCTGCTTTGCTGACAAGGCATTTTACGTTGTCTGCCAGCTCCTAGGCACAGCATGAGGGAGTCATGGGCAGGTTTAAACTTGCCTTTGTAAGTCAGAACTAGAAATTACAGATACATTATGTAACATTTTTGTGATATTATTTAATTACAAGGACTAGAACAGAAGTTTTATAATAAGGGAGTTCATTCACCTTTTAGGAAGCAAAAGCTCTGAGAAGTACATACATGATTGCACCAAGTTTAATATCCTGTTTCCAGCAGTACTCAGTATTTAACGCTTCAGCGGAAAGCAATGGGATGAGAAATCCAGCCACAACCGCTGCAGATACCTGTCTCTGCTTCCTCATCCTTGCAGTCAATTTCCCCTAAGCATAAGGCTGAAATGTTGCTATACAACAGTGCACAGCCTCTTCTACATTCATCTGACTTGCTCTCCTGAGGCAACAAGTTTCATATTAGTTTATTGGGGGAAAAAACCCACAATAAAACACATCTCCTGAAACCATAGCCACAGACCCTTCAAAATCACAGTAGTTTCAGTCTTTGCAATATTCTGGACAGTAAACAGCAGCAGAAGCGCACCAGTGTCTAGCAGCAGGCTGTACTAGATAGAACTCCACACATACAGGTATTCCCCACAAAGTGGACATAGCTGAAGAGAAGTCACTGAGGTCTTCTTGCTGTTTTATAGTGATATTCCCGTTTCAATCGCCAACAGCGATTATATTACAAGGGAGGTGCAGCGCACCTGCTGATCCTGTACGGAATTGGGAAATGCCTTCATACTTGGGGGGGTGTGCAGGGAGGGAATGGCGATGGGAGACGCAAATGGAACTGCAGCATCGAGTTACTCATCCCAAAGCTGAGGAGTCTGTCCAACTGCTGCAGTTGCCGGAAAGCACCCGGCGCTTTCCTGCCTACGCTCCCAGTCTCACAGCTGTGCAACCCTTACCAGCCTGCTCTGGGGAAGTCCCCAGCGCAGCACAGCCTCTCACTGACACTATTCCACTTTTCATGTGGTAACTGAAGTGTTCATCAGCCAGAACAAGGAAGAGAAAGTGAGCAAAAAACCATGCAGGTCTGAAAACACTTGTGCACTCAGTTACTGTTCAAACAGATCCTTCCCAATTCTAAGTTAATGATTTCCAGAACAAGACAGGGATTTCCATCAGAGGGTATCCAACTCTTGAGAGTAACGTACAGGGAGCACTGGTCCCTGATACAGTCATCTTGAGTCTGCTCTGGGAACTGGTCCCAGATTCCCTAGGGCCAGAAAACAAAAGCAGGGGGTGTGGTGCGCAATCTCAACAGGTACGCGTTGCCACGAAACACAGTACGGCCACCAGTCACAGTTACACCTGCTTGGTCCACCCCCTGCAAGGGCACAGGGGCATACAAATGGTTGATTATTGTCTGTTGACTGAGAAACAGCTGCTTACAACTGAGAAACCAGTAACTTTTAAATGACTCCAATGCCTTTGTCTTTGACCGGTCCTCAAATCAAAACCCCTCTCCTAGAAGGCTCTGCCCATCTGCCACCAAACTGTCTTCTTCAAAGGCATCTGAGCTCGTCCAGGGTCGCACTTTCTCACTCTGAAGTTCCCCCAGCATAAAGGCAGCTTCTGCACACACCCAGAAGTTACAGAGATTTGAGATGCCTGAATAACTTCATGACCAGGTTCCCCTGGGAGCCTGAAACTTGGTGTTCTTCCAAGCAAGGTGTCTATGAACAAAAGGAAAACGGAGTATGAGTGCAGAGCATGCTGAGAAGGAAAAGGGACGGAAAGGTTGGGCCAGGCCCAAACCCATGAGTGACTGTTTATGTACCCGAAGGCTGGTTAATACAGCACAACACTTGGCATGCCACCTGTACACACTCTCTTCGGACTACGAATCTTGGCATTATTTTCTATACAGTGAAACGGTTTCCACCTAAGCAAAGGACTAGGGTGCTCTCTGCTAAGCTATAGCTTAGAGGCAGCAATTACTGAACAACAGATTGAGCTCTCCAGCATCTTGGTGAGTTCCTTAGGTGTTAAACTACTGTGTAAATTACAGGAAACCCACTCAGCAGCAGATCTTTACAAGAAAGATGTTTTAAGAGGAAGAGTGACCTATGCCCTGTTCTTGAAAGGGAAGGTTTATGCGCCTGCCTTCAGGAGCGGGCACTGGACTGTGACTGTGGACCATAGGGAGCTTCGACAGCAAGCAGCTGAGCTGTGGTTCCATGCTGAAGGGTAACTGCCTGGATGCTGGGGATTAAAACATTTAACTCTCAAGCATCTAACCTCTAATTGCCTTGCTTCCTATTTCATTAAGGGATGTGACTTAGGGACTAATCCTGAAATTCTACTCAGAAGTAAAAGACCTGTGGTCCTCAATGACCACAGCCTATCCTTACTAGATTAAAAAAAAAAAAAAGTATTTCTGCTCACAGAGAGTCATTGGAAGGCCAGGGTATTTTACAGCCATCTTGCCACTGCTAGGGAACACACGCTCCTCCCTACAGTATGTTACTGGACCTCTGCATCAGTAAACGAGCTCTGCTGGCACGGTAATTTTGCCTTGTCTTCAAACACAATGGGATTCTGATCAATTCTAAAACACTTTAAAAGGAAACGTTTGAAAAACAAAGCAGATGTATTAAATAATAGGGTCTCTGGGGGAATGATAGCTTGGCCTGTTCATTTTCAAAATTCTTTTTCTGATCCCTCTCCCCTTCAACAAAAGGCAATTGGATTCCTTTAATTTATCTTCTGGCCACCTTAAAATCAACTCGGCTCTCTTACCACCCTTAATTACATCT